ATTCAGGGCCACCTAGAGAACGTGTTAAAGTCGAGTGTAGAGTGAATAGTGATTAATCATCATCCCCCTTTATTCCTGGAGGAAGAATATATTTTGCTTGATAATACACTTATTCTAATTATGTATGCTTGAAACATTGATTGTTAATAACATTCATCTGCTTTAGTTTGATGAGGAATGCAAGAAGTTGTCCAATGCAAGAAGTTGTCCAAAATATTTGGCGATATTAACGATCCTGCTTTAAGTGTAAGACTTCTCCCAGATGTGATTTCTTCGAATTCCCTTATTGTGAAGTCCATAGTTGTTGAAAAACAAAATGACCTTCTGCATCAAAAGTATGCTGTTAAACGTGCTGAATATGATGTTGGCTATAAATCAATCGTTTCTGGGGTGAACGAAAAGTTATTGGGCCTTTGTAAAATTCATAAAGACCAGATGTGTAAAGACAATTTAATAATCGAGCAACATCTTTGTGACTTAATTGAATGTGCTTCTGCTGATTTTTTTCTTGATGCATGGGAATTTATTACTAAACATGTGACAACCATGTTTGTGAAAATAAACAGATTTGGAGAATCACTTATCTCCAATGAGCAAGAAAGGCTGAAGAAAATAAAAAGTCACATACAGGAATATTATATAGATGTTCTTGACCATTGTTTCTCGGACAAAGAAAAGTTGAAGCAATTTTTTGAAAAGGAAATATCAGAGTTCAATTCGGACGCTCTTGCAAACTACCAGTCATACACAGTTACCATTGCACGACTTAAGGAGCAACTAGTCTTACAGTTTCACTCATGGCACAACACTTGGGAGATGCTCTTATTCTCCTGGCGAGACCATATGATTAAAGAGAACATTCACAAAATTGAAGAGCTGTCTAAAGACAAAGAGTTTCTCGAACCAGAAGAATTAGAGATAACAAGGAATTCTTGTTTATTAACCATGGAGCATGCTGAATCATCAATAGATGAATATTTTGATGAGTTAGCAAAAACAATGCCTGTTTCATTAGAATTGGGAGTTCAAACGTTTGATAGCATTGGAAACATATTTTCCCAATGCCAAGAGGCCATTTCAAAATTTGACAGTCATACAACTATGATTTTTGATGAAAAGTACTACAAGCTTACTGAGCATATTGACAAAATGAGAGGCTACTTGATTAGTAACTCTGTTTTTGAAGAGAACAACTCTTTGGAATTGTTTGAGTATTCGGTTCACAAAATATGTGAAGAATTTGAGAAGCGTATAACAGATACCCAACAAATGTACATGGAGGAGATTTACTCCAAATGCCAATCGAAGAAGGAAATCTGTGAAGAAATCAAAGGATACACCTTTCGTGGGTGCAATGCATGGGGTTTATATTTAAAAGGGTATGAATTTGCATACAATGATTTTGTCCACCAATATGACCGTGGATTAAAAAGTTCCAATAACAATGTAACATGGCTTGAAAGAAGTCTCAATAAATCTTGTGGCTTACTCGTGGAAAGTCGAACCCTGAAACAATTAAAAAAACGATTTGACGAAGTTAAAGAAAGGTTGGACAGAATATTTTTTGAGTATAGTAGATATGAGGGTAGTCTTGAAAACAGTGTAAAATCTTATGTGGAAGAATGGGTAACTACTGAGATAAACTTAGCCGGAGATTTATTAACTGCATTGAAACTGAAGATTGATCCAGAACAAACTGTTACAGATGGGTCATTTGAGTTTGAGGGGAACACTTTTGTGTTCCAAGGCAAAGGTTCTCCTTATTCTTTGAAATTCAAACTCAAATGCAGTGAATCTTTTCTTGCTAAAGTTTCTGTACAAAAAGAGTTGAGCCTTCAAAATCTTCAAACAAAACTTACAAGACTCATAAAACAAGCTCAAAATGAGGTGCAAATGCGTAAAGGCCTTCATCTACCAAGATTATCAGTTTTAAAGAAGGAGCTTTATGAAGTGAGAGTTGAAGAATTAAATGAGTTCGGAAATTCCTGTAATCTATTTTGGGATGAAATAACTCGTCAAGAGCAGAAATATACCAATCTTTATCGAAAACTTGGTTCCGATACTGATGCTGTGATAAAGAAGTGTACAGATTATGTGGCGGGGCTCAAGATACACATGACAGAAAAAGAAACCAGTGCAAAGTTAATGCAATTACAACCATTGATTAACAAGACAGCAAAAAGTTATATAGATGAATTGAACACTCTTGTTGACGAATTCCAGAGAGAAATCGGAGTCCACATAGAATATGTATTTAAAAAGCACAAAAATCTTCTGTCAATATCAGAGACTAGATCCCTTAAAATGAGTGATGAAGGAAAAATTAAAAATGAGTACGAAGAATTTTCAGAGCTTACTGAAGACATGAAGGTGAAATCAGAATCAGAACGACAGAAGGTGGTCTATATTCAAGAAGCAGAGGATAAAGCAATGTCTCATTATAAGCATACACTTTTCTGTGTATTCTTTTTAGAGAAAAAGAAGGAAATATTAAAAGAATGTCGAATTCGAATAAAAACAGCATCAGTGAGTTGCAGCAAAGAGGTTGTTAAATTCGAGAATGACAAAAAATCATTTGAATCTGAGAAGATCTGCTCATCTTTCGATGAAAATGAAAAAGTGATAAAGGAATTCGAAGGTCTGTACGCATTATGCAAGAGCATCGTCAACATGATAGACTACAGTTCTGGAATAGGCGAAAACCTTGCACAATGTGTTTCAATGGAGAAGCTGGAAAGAAGGTACAAGAAGTTTGGTGAAGGGACAAGCCGATCTATGGACAGTGCGATTCTGAAAGAGATTTTAAGCACTCCCAGTGAAAAAACTGGAGGAGGTGAGATTAAAGGACCAACTCGGGAGGAATTTAGTTGGAGAATACAAAGAGTGAAAGTTTTCCGTGAGCTTATTGGAAGGTCCCTGAAATCAGTAAAATACGGAGTTGGGGTGAAACCCGATTCTTTGTTTATATCTGATCACAACATAACTCGAAGTAAAGCAGCAGCACTAAAAAATTTTGGATTACTAGAAGCAAGTGGGTCAGACAATTACTGGGCTTCGCATTTATTGGGTAAAAAGGATGCATGTAAAAGTAAAGATGAGCACGATTCAATTGTTGCAAAAGCTTGTGCTAAGCTACGAGATAGACGAAACTCGACAATGAACAGACAGAGTTTTCAAGCAAGTTTACCCCTTTTGAAAGATAGAAACGCCATCATAAAAGACGGCAGCAAATCCACCAGTCCTTTCCCCCCTATTCTTCGAAAACAAATAGTACAGACTGCTCCTGTCATCAATAAGGGTAATTCGTCTGAACAAATTGATATGGATGGGGCTGTAAGATTGTCGAGAACTATCGAATTCTTCATGGGCCCTAAACGGTCTCCTCAGAGTAGCGTGGGCAGCAGCGTAGGAAGTAGTGCTGACGGTAGAATGGAAAGATTTTTTGATTTCACAACAACTTCTGATGAGACAATGAAAGAAATGATTTTCAAACCAGCAAATTTCTTTGGCTTTAAAAGTCGATGCCTAGATGTTGACGTCATATCACAAAAGATTATAAGTATTAAAGAAAAAACCAAATTTTTCTTGCGACATGCTTTTGAGCAGTTTGTACTTTCTGCCGAAGTTTTCTACAGGCAAAAGAACATTCTGATCACAAAAAAATGCATTCCAAAGGATATTGACAGTGCTTGCAAAGATATGGAAAATAGCTTGCAGCTTTACCTTAGTAAGGTTGACAAATTCTGTGTTGAGGGAATTAATAAAATGAAAAAAGTCGCCTTCGAGCTGATTTCTTATCAAGAACAGTTTATCTCATCAGTTTTTGCATCAGCAAGTTGCTACCTCGATTCTTGCGACAAAGCTTTCATCATCAATCTAGAATGGAAATTTCAAAATATAAAATCGCAAAATGGAGAAAAACAAACGGCTCTGCTCGCTCGACTACGACCTTGCATGTCCCACCCCAATTACCACTGTGAAGTAGTCGAGCTGCAAAACTCAGCTGATCAGCTCAATGATAGTTGCTCTGAACAGTGGACAGCTCTGCGTGCTGATGCTTTTAAATTTATCGAGGAGTTACATGATGAATCACTGTTTGTAATTGAGAAATACAAAACTTCAATGTACAGTCTTGCTGATGTAACAATCCACCCATCCAAGGTGAAAAGGATCACCCGAGCTCAGTTTAAAGGAATAGAGCACCACCAGTGCCTACAGGATCACATGCCTGATGAAAATCCACGAAAACTTTACCAACTGTTCATGGAGACTTGTGACATTGAAAAAACTAAACAGAAAACAAAGTTTTACGACCACATTGGCATGGAAAATACTAGAGCTTTAGTTCACGCTAACTCTTGTTACGAGTTGAGGAAAAGTGAGGTGAGTAAGATGTTTAAAAAGGAGCTGTTCGCCTTACAAAAATGGATGAAATATCGGAATCGAAACATACAGGAACTTACTGGATAATATTGAAGGTAATAATTGGATCAGTAGAGAAGGTTTTCAGATTCAATCATAATTACGATATTGAATTTACTTTTTGCTCAATATTTATATCATATTGTCATTGAGAATGTTAGCTTTAATTTGTTTTGTTTTTAATTTGTTATACTAATAATGTTTTGTAATTGCACTAGTTATATTTGATCTTGATTATGGCATTAATTGATAATATTTGAATCGTACTCTTTGGGTTTTAATTAGTAGCATTAGTATTCTCCATTTGATCATGTCAGCACAGTGGGAAATTGTTCTTCGGAAATATTATCAATATCCATATTCCATTATCCAGTTTAAATTGGGCAGGATTCAGCATTGTCACTGAAATCATAATCAGAATTGGAGAACCTTATTTGAAACAAATTATAAGAGTTTTGACTAGGTGTGCTTTGTGCTTAAAATGCGCAGGTGAGAGTCACGTGTTAAAGCATATTATATGTGCTTATTGTGCATCGCCTCCCTCAAAATAAAATCTCATTTTATCACAACATGTCTCTGTGTTCAAGCCATGACAAGTTCAGCAACTCAGCAACCCTCTGCAGATGCCGCAAAGTTTAAGAAGTTACTCTACTTTGACAATTTCGAAGAGCTTCCCAAAAATGCCATATTCTTCAGGTCAGTAATTTAACGGAAGATTGTTGCCAATAATAGTTGCGGGCTGATGGTATTTTTTAAACTGTGTTCGCATCACAAACCCGTGCAAAACACTGAGAATTATAATTTATATGTGATTGTTGACTCAATATATATTGACTTAATATATATTGTATTTGGATACGAAGGGAAACACACAAAAGAAGCTCTTTTTTATTTTGATTTTATTCGCATGATCATGAGTTTCTCAAATCAAGTATTGTACAAAAGGCAATTTAATTTGAAACACCTTGTATATATGACGACACCATTTCCTGATATCAGGTCGGCTATAATTGACGAGTTTCGATTGAATGACACTTTAACCGGTGGCAGAGTTCGGGCTCCCGTCCACAACTCCAACGACATTATGGGTTAGAAGAAGATTGGGAGCTCACTTAGGAGCTCACTTAAAATGGCAACACCTTTTTAAGAATAATTCAATTAAAATAAAATATCCTGCTGCACAATCTCACTTCTATTCTCAGAGACCAACTTCATACCAAGTACCAACAATAATGAGCTAGAACTGCACTACATTCTGACATGAACAGTGACACTGCTCTACTTTATTGCGCCGTCATGATTCTAATCTTTACCATACACTAGTGTAGTTACTAGTGTTACTAGTGACACACTAGTGTAGTGACTAGTGTTCTAATCTTTACCATACTTTACATACTTTACATAATTTACATACTTTACATACTTTACATACTTTACATACTTTACATACTTTACATACTTTACATACTTTACATACTTTACATACTTTACATACTTTGCATACTTTACATACTTTACATACTTTACATACTTTACATACTTTACATACTTTACATACTTTACATACTTTACATACTTTACATACTTTACATACTTTACATACTTTACATACTTTACATACTTTACATACTTTACATATGCATACTTTACATACTTTACATACTTTACATACTTTACATACTTTACATACTTTACATACTTTACATACTTTACATACTTTACATACTTTACATACTTTACATACTTTACATACTTTACATACTTTACATACTTTACATACTTTACATACTTTACATACTTTACATACTTTACATACTTTACATACTTTACATACTTTACATACTTTACATACTTTACATACTTTACATACTTTACATACTTTACATACTTTACATACTTTACATACTTTACATACTTTACATACTTTACATACTTTACATACTTTACATAATTACATACTTCGTCAGATAACGGTATCAGAAACAGGGTTATGATAGAGAACCCGGCGCAGCCGGTAAGTTTTGTGATCTACAAGACGTCGGAACGTGCCGAGTCTAATATGATCGACAGAAGATTGCTTTACGTTCAGAACAGAAATAGACTTCCTCTGGCTGTGTGGTGTAGATGGATTGTCGAAAGTAATTATCTTCCATCTAAATTTCGTTTTCATTTTCATAGAATTTTCGTACGATAGAACCATTATAGTACTTTCATCCTATGACAAACTTGGTACCTCAACTCGGGTAATTTTATACAACTAATTTTTTACTATAATTTGCAGATGACATGTTCCAGTACTTCATGTTATGGTTAATTATCGGTAACTCTGTTGTCATGGGCCTTCAGTCAGGTAAGAAGCAATTCACATTATCTAAATCACACATTCTGGAACTAAATCACACATTCTGGCACTAAATCACACATTCTGGTACTAAATCAGTAAATCACACTTTTTATCTCAAAGATCGCACATTTTAACACACCACAATCTTTATTTCAACTAATCACACACACTCACACGCATCACACAGAGTTACCCAGCACTCCAGAGGTTTACGCACACATCCAGTCCATTCTAGAGATGTTTGATCTCTTTTCACTCTACATGTTTGTACTTGAAATCCTGCTCAAGTGGGCTGATAACTTCGTTGATTTCTGGTCCAGTGGGTGGAACATTTTCGACTTTCTTGTCACAGTTGTGGTACGTTAAATTACTGTTGATATATTATGTAATTATATAAAATTAATTAAATAGTAAATTATTATAGTACGTAATTTTATAATTTGATTCCTGACGAAATTCAAAGTTATGTTCTCTTCTGAACGTTTTGATAAGCTGATATCTGGATATTATCCGGTTGGAAGAGAAGCAGTAACACTAAACAGTCCTCCCCTAAAATTATGATTATAAAATTAAAAGGCGTAATAATTTCGTGATAACGTCATTAAATAAATATGTTTGTATAAATCAATTCAATGCTCAATACAATACCAAATTCGGAAAGTTTAATTGATTACATTTTAATAGAATCAGTTGGTTCGATAAATTAACAAAGTTCAATAAAATAAATGGTAGAAAAAGTAAAAATTTAACAAGGTTATTTATCTAGATCCCAAACTCCGATTCAAAGTTAACCAACTAATTTCAAAGAGTGAAGATATTGTGAAGATCTCAATCACATAAAGATTGAACAAATGTCATTTCGGCGCATTAATCTGGCTGACAATAAGGTCGTCTGATGAGATTACCAAACTGTCAGAGTCTCCCGTCACCAGGTGTTCACCGTCGTAACCAGTGTATTTCGCTGCAGATATTCACTTATCATCGTACTATACCTGAGTTTAATGTCATGAGTTGTCGTGGTAAATACAACTTTCACAAAAACAAATTACCACCACAGCAACTACAACACCTAGTAACGATCAACATTTTAACGATAATATGATAAAAGGATAAATTAGGGTATCAATTATAAGCAAACAAACATAATCGTTTATGTAATTACCTTTCTTCGAATAATCCAAAATTTCGACTCAGAACAGATTGAGATGTTTTATCCTGAAAGGTAGAGTTAATCCTGAGATTAGAGTTTCTAATGATATATTGACGATATCTTAGTTAATCAGCTGTTTTTCCTTACGTTCTATTTTTTTTTCTAATTTTTTTGTTCCGTGCGCGTGGGTTGAAAATAATTTCCCTGCCCTGCCGTTAACCTCGCCAATACACCGGACACCGGTACCCCTGTACCACCTGTACTACTACTACTACTACCCCAACATAAATTAGCCTTTTTTAAACTTTAATATTTTCCTTTGTATCTTACAGCGACTGCATGATATTATTCTCTGTACCTAGCAGTGCTGCTATGCAGTTGTCAGGGTAACTAACACAGTCCTCCTCTCCTAGTGGATAAGGGAGTTAGTGTTATCCTTATCATCATTATTATCGTGGTAATAAAAAGTGATTTATTTGATTTGAAATGACTGCAGTTTAAGTCTAGATGTCGAAGCGACAAAATGATACAATTTAAGTTATTGTAAAACCTTGCGTTACGCGTTTGTATTGAGTCTTTACATAACTCAGCCCTTTCTCTATTGATGTAATGACTTGGGTAGCTTCTTTAACCGCTGCAATCCACTCTCCTCGGTCGAAACTTCCAGAATTCGTTTGAGTAAATACTTCCATATTTCCATTTACAATAACATTATTCCAATATGACTCTGCAGAAAAGTTCCAGGCGACCATGTTGTCCATGTATTTGTAAAATACACTATAAGCTCTGAAATCTCGTTTTGCAATCCCAATTCTTATTCCACCATGTAGGTTGCCGTAGTCGTACTCATAAAAACTGTGTAGTACACTAGTTAACGAAATTTTAAAAGTTCTTATTTTTAACATAAGCATTATGCATCAGAATGAAGTTTTCCTCTATAAACAAATAATTCCAATAGCCCACAACATAGCTCGTTTTTCTTACCTGTAGTAAATTCTGCCGAAGGCAAGATATTTCCCATCTGGATTGTATAACGTGAAACATATATTTAGATTGCCGCCGTTTGGATCGTAGGGACCTGTTTGTTCTAGTTTCATCAGTAGAATAGACTTTTTATTGATAGGTACCAAGTCTGTTGAGGCAAGTGTGGTTTGGTCCAAATCTTTTAAGTGCTGGTCATAAGAAAATTTCGTCTTGGGAACCTTCCACTCTGAGTTGAAAAACGGTATTGGAATTTATGATCATGATTTATCAATCGGGTCCCGTGTTATCCTTTTTCTTATTTTTTCGAAAGACCCTTTCATCATTGATAAGAATTTCCTATAGCTATATAATTAATAAAGCATTTCTAATAATATTTGGAGGGCCTAGCCTGGTATTACCTCTGATTATAAGTTTATAAAACATCTAATTTTAGATTCTCTTACCGAGAAAATCAGCGAAGGAAAGCTGGAGAATTATCCCCAAACTGATCGTCAGTTTGATCAACGTCAATACCATCGGATCTTGTAACCTACATTTCTACAATAACTAGACATAAGTTCCCTAATTGTACTCTTAGAAGGAGAAATCACAAATTATAGTTAACTGACATCATTTCTGTCAAGTAGGCTTAGCTAGAGATGGTGAAAAACAAGCCAGCAAAAATTACTGATATGTTTAAGCTAAGTTAAGAATAATCAACGTGTTAGTTATCTGTTAGCGATGCCGACATTTCAGCTTTTATTTAACCAAATTCGACGTAACGCTCATAATTATACAGCCAAGATAAGGAATATAATGACCTTGTTTTCGGAATTTGATGTGATATGTGTTGTACAATGTATAATGTACTAAGTGGTGATTTGAAGTTTGGAGGTGGTTTTGAAATCTGAATGCTGGTTGCTAGACATCGTTTTGGTTGTGCGGCACTTTTGGTAAAATCTTAAACTTTATGAGGGTTTTTCTGCGCTCATTAAACCCAGTTAGTGAGTGACAAAGAATAAGCGTTTGTGACAAAAAATAAGCGTGGGTATAAGTCATAAGACATTACAGGGAGTTTTCCTAAAACTAATAGGGCGGACACCAATTATACTATTTAAAAATCTAAACATAATTTTAACAAACAACTCGCTCAGTTGGAATTAGCAAAATTGAGCTAAACTTAAAAACAAGCTCGGTCCGAATAACACATGATTTATTTGGCTCGTCTAAGCTGCCCGCAAGCATCTTGACAGAATAGTTAATGGTTTCTGTATGCAAGTCCTTTTAAATGTGAGCTGCGAGATTAGTCGCGTGAGCTGTCGCGTGAGCTAACGCTCCGATAAGAGAAACAGATTCTACGTAGACATAAAAGCAAGGATCATTATTCTGTTAAAGCAAGGGTTGCCTAATGTCATTTCCAAAATATGATGATCTCACACACTTTATAATATTAACAGTCAGCTGAGTAATCTTTAGGCCGGTTTTTCCTGCTTAACTGTAACATTAGCAACAGCTTGGTTTAAAGACTTGTTCTCGTCAAAGAGGTATCTGACAAGTGACCTCAGTCTACATTTATAGCGCCCTGAGTGTCCCTTCGTCCAAGACGTATTATATAGACTCATGGAAACCAAGTTTTATACGAGCGGTTTTCATTCTGTAGAAATAACGGTCGTGGTGACCTTTAAAATTACTAAATGTAAATCTAATATAAATACACCTCTCCGCTCTCAGTAGTAGCTCAGCCAATCACAAACCTCAGATTTCTTGTCCGAATAACTACTAGCTGCAGTTTATCTAAGCCCTATCAATTTCCATGCAAGAGAAAATGAAAATCTTGGGGCAGATAAGCTTTTTTTCATTTTTGTGTCATGGAACCTACTCTATTTCTACAATCTACATCGAGGATACGTCATTATATGGACGTCTAATGGGGCCCACTGCCCACTGGTGTAAAGGAAGATGAAGGTTAACCCTTTAAACTATCTGGGATATGTCTGGATTTACTTTAAACCAGAGGATGAAGCCAGCTGTCACAAGAAATACTGTCACATCGGTCTAACTCTCTTTACAGGAGAGAGAGAGAGAGAATCCGGACCAATTTGCTGGACAAACGAAACGAACGGTCCCTTTTTAGAAATGGTACCTCTTCTCGGTTTTTATAAAACTCTTGAAGAGTTGAAGTTAGACTACTGCAAAATAAAAATATTATTCTAAGCTAAAGAGTTGTCGTCATTATTGCTGGTGGCAGTCATTTTTAATGATCACAGCTGTTATTCATGATGCCAGCTTACTAGACCGAACCGCAACAAGGCCCCTCACTCTAGATACGCATATTTAAATTCAAATTCAAAATACACCAAGTCTTTTGTCCGGAGAAGGAACGCTCATCGTCGAGACTAATCCAGGGTTATTCAAGTTAATCCGGGTGCTTCTGAGGGCAGCTGCGATAAATAAATATATAGATAATATAATAAATATATTCATAATATACAGATAAATATATAGATAATATAATAAATATATTTATAATATATAGATAAATATATAGATAATAAATATAATGTAGTTTTTTGCTCAGATATTTTTTGTTGAGAGGCTGCTATTGGCGCGCGGCAAGAAAAGGAAAATGATCTAAAATCTGACCGGTTTATTCAAGCAGAGAAGCAGGGCTATTTTTAGGTATAGGATAAAAAGAGATAAACTGACTCGTGCTGCACCATTAGTCGTGGAATAAAGCGATCATTTTTGGTCATTGATGCGGCTTAATCCCTTGGTCATATGCTAGCTTTTTTGGAGCCACAATAAAGACGGCAGAAAATATTTCTGGGGATCATTTACATAAGATTACGTCATTTTAGACGCCCCTTCCCCTCCGTTAGCCCACTTCGCGCTGGCGCAGAGGTATTATGAGATTATGCGGACATTACATGAGCTATTCCAAACCTCCTTCATCCTCCATATAATACCAAGACTGGCTTAATTAATATTATATCTCAAAGGTCCCTTGATGATTACTTAACATACGTAACAGGGATACAAAACATCACACATCTTTCCAGATTCTCATCTAAAATTTTGTTTTTTTGCAGTAGGGACCACAATATAACAACCTGTATCTAAATTTTAACACAATTTCCTATCTTGTATCTCAGTGTCTGGTATGTGGTACACCGTTTAATGGAAATAAAACTCACGTGACCATTGGATCAGTCTACCGATCTGTAACCGGATTATCCTGAACCCT